TCGCCACCCTGACGGGCATTCTCGTAAACTCAAATGTGTATTCATGGCAGATAAAGACTGTTTCCACCATGTCAGCCTCAAACACAGGGATATGAAGAAGCCCCTGGGAGAGGTTAAAGCTCGAGAACAACATGGCATGGCCCGATTGTGGTAGGAGCCACTCCATTGGAAGCATTGGGTAGGCAGGTTTTCAGGTGCGTGCGTAGCCCACAGCAAGCCAGTAGCCTCCACACCTGTTGGCAACAAGCAATGGGGCACTAGTCTAAGGGCTGGGGCTAAGTCTTATAAGGCTCTACCCCAAGAGGCCATTTGCGCATCCTTTAAAGATCTTTTGCTTTTTATCATTCGCTGGCCGCAGCTTGCATCTCTCAGGCCCACCCTTTCTCTCCAGTGTCAATGCAGTACTGAGTGAGGGTTGAACATACAGGCATTGCAGTAAACAAATGAGAGAAGTCATTGAGTACCTGTTTCATTTTTTAGGAAGATAAAACCAGCAAAAAACCACGCGAAGAACTACCGTTGGATTTACAAGCACTGGATTAACAACTTAATGTTTATAGAAAATTTCACACCCCCCCCCCCCCCCCCCATGAATCAGCAGCACGCACCTAAAAAAGCCACCTGAGCCATGTCAAACTTGAGCACCTAATCATATAGATCGTTAATAGTTTGAAACACCAATAAATTCAACACGAAGCTTATCAGCTACGTATCTAAAAACGCGAATTCTTTAACTGTGAGGAAAACTGAGAGTTTGCTCACACATGACATGTGTGTGGCTTCATCAGATGAAAAAGTACTGCTCGTGCCTGGTACTACAAGCATTTCTTTGAAGAAGTCTTGCAAGCTATAAGATTTGCGGTCTTCCTCTAACGTGAGCGTAGCAGCTGCATTCCTGTCACGCTTAGCAAATAAACACTGCAGTGAGAGTCGGTTCAAATAGTCCACCCTCCCAGCGCTATATGTAGGAATGTGTGTCGCATTCAGAACGTTTCTGCCTCGCACAATGTCCCGAGATAAATCTGGCAAGCACAGGAAACATATGTGGCTGCTTATGTGGCAGCTCCCATCAAAAGTTGATCCCGCACATTAGGAGCCATTGTTGAAAAGGTGTATTGCTTGGGGCAAAGCAGGAGGTGCCTAGTAAATATGCAAACATTAACACGTGCACTTGAGGTGGATATAGTTAGCTGATTCATGAAAAGGAGTTCTTATTGCAAGATGTGTAGGCCATTTACATTAATGCATGCACAGCTTGAATCAGCTTATGTGTGGTCCCCATCTGCAGTAGCACTGCAGGTGTACTGGCTGGATATTTACTCTCCATGCAAAATGGCGTGGTAATTGAAAATGCCACTTGGATATGCTCTGTACAGCGAATGTTCTATCGAGTATATTCAGGTGCGTATTCCTGCATAGTACTGAGATGTTATACAGGATGGCCCAAGTTCTTGCCAAGGCCACCCCAATTTGGCCCTGCCAGGTGTAGTGTACAGCGTATCCCGAAGGTGTACGGCCACTAGCGTGGGTGCGGTCTTAGTAAGCCTCAACGTCTCGTTGTAACACCACTGCACACGCGCGTTTGGACAGCCAAGGCGCGGAGCCCAGCGTGGCAAGAGCACAGTACTGCTCTCAAACAAGTCGCAACTCTTTATTGCCTGCGGCAACAACAAAAACGCAGTACAGCACCTGTTGCAAAACTCAGCAAGATAGCAAACGAGGCTTATCCCCGCTACAGGCGAAAAGTACAACACAAAGAGTGCCGCAAGCACGTTTTCGCGGGCAAAAGGGCTCACAATGACACACCCTTGCGGGAAACGGGCCCTCGCGACTATGTTGCGCGCTCTTGCAATCAGGGACAACAGGGCCTGATCGCGCGAACGAGGGGTAATTCCGCTCGGGTTGGCTTCTAGAGGTATGGGTCGGAGTAGTAGGACCACGCACGAAAACACTACACTGCTCTTCGGCCTAGCGTTCGAAAGGGGCAATGAAAGGTAAGCATTCACCACGGACGCAAGGCGCCCTTGACGAAATCCGAGCGAGCCCCAAACAAAAAGAGCCGATGGACAGGAAAGAAATGCGCGCTCACCCTTCTTTGTACCGAGAGTTTCCAGGCACGTTGCCGAACTCCACATAGAGCACTTTGACGTGAGAAACACTTGCCGCTTCACATTCAGCAGCAGTCATACTGCAGGGCTTTTCATTATGTTTATATGGCTTTTTTTAAGTACAGTAGACTCTCAGTGAGGGATTTTAAATGAAACGAAGAGAAAAGTGAGCCCTGTAACTGTCTTTCAAGGGGGGGTCACCTCAACAGTACCTCACAAAGAATGGGGGTAGAGGAGGGAGTAAAAGGATAAGATCAAAAGGTAAAAAGAGAGTGAGAGAAAGGAGAGAGCGAAGCGCAGAGACAGCAAACGACAGAGAACAACGGAAATAAAGAAGAGATAAGAAATATGGACACGGTCGTCGGAGTTTGAGGAAGGGGCACCACTCGGCGAGAGCTCTTGTCCGTGTCAGGAGATGGCGTAGGGCGAGCCCAGTCGGCCAAAGCTGCGCTGTCGTCGGAGGTCGCGGGGCCCAACCGGTCAGCACAAAATCCAGAGAGTGATTCCAGTAGACTCTCAGTAAACGGGCATCAGTTAAACGAAACTAGTGCTTAAACGAAACTATTACCTCTGCAATGCTTGGTGTCGGGCTTGTATTCTGCACCCATGTTCATCTCTCGAACAGGAAATCCTAACAGGAAATCCTAACAGGATTTCCTGTTAAATGAAACATATTTTCCCAGTCCCTTCAGGTTCCATTTACTGAGTCTACTGTATTGTGATATTCATCATGGCGAAGAAGTTTGACAAAGTCATTGCCCCTCTTCGAATACTGTTGATAGCCTTAATCGCACAAAAATTGACCTCTAATGTTCTTACTTCAGCATCCATCTCGTTGGCTACACGAGGGGACAAAATACGCTCTTTGTTAAAATAGCAACTGTTGCACATGACTACAAGCTTCAATCAAAGCTTGTACTCTCTGTTGGCCTTTAATAAAGTCATGCTTTTTCCACGACACTCAATGCGAGTGACAAGCCCGAATACCGATCCTATCCCCGCCAAGTCAACAACAGCAATTCTGTCCCATTCTCTTTGCCATCACTTTCCAGATTAAAAACTTAGGAGCTTGAACTTGTGTTCCGCCATGCACTACGATGCCAGGAATACCTTCAGTTCAGTTAAGTTTTATTCATTTAAAGTACAAAGCTCGCAGTTAAAAGTGTTCAGACGAGGGTCCCCAAGTCGGGCGACTGCAGTGGGACCTTCAAGCATAGAGTTTCTCAAAAAAATACCTAGAGGGAAATCTGGTGCTAGTGAGCTGCTAAATGCAAGGGAATAATGGTATATGTGAGCTTTAACGTTAACTTGGATTTGTATCGTTCACGTAAAGCCCAGACACCTCGAAAACGCTCTGGCTTCGACACTTTCCTTGTGTCAAAATTGATTATTTCTTACTAAAAGAGCATGTAATAAGCTATTCATTATTTGTCACCGCACAGAAACGTGTTTTATTTAAGCCTGAAAACTTTTGCATCGATGTACAAATTTACAAAATGTAAACAGTAACCAATGGCCACTATTCTTGGCAGGCAGACGACAAAGGTAGCATTCTCTCTGCCACTTTATGTCATCTATTTTTGTCTTTCACCCTTTGGTTGTGCCGCAAAGGTAAGTGGACTTTCATTTTAGAAATATTCTGCATGAAAGAGGTCAGCTTATAACAGCTTTGTTTTAGAGATGCTTTATTTACGCAGTAGTATCTGCTTTTGAGCCAAAGCCTCGCTAAACACCAGCCAACACAAGCCTTGCAGACACATATACAGTCATTACCAGTGCTCCAACGGCGCTTTTAAGAAATTAACATAGAAGGTGGCCCCAGATTTCTTTCTGGGTATTTTTGCAAGAAACTCGGTGGCTTCAAGCTTGCTGCATTTCTGGTGCACTTAGAATACTTGTCCATGGAATAAAATTCAGGATCAATGCGGTCTTGAATGCTGCTGGAAGGGACAACGTGAATATCCGAGGAAGTGTCGCAGCTAGACTCAGGAGAGTGCACCTCTTCATACTCAACAGGCTCCAACGGCTGCGTGCCACAGCTGGAATGCGTTGCTCCAGATGCATCGGGTAAACTCTTCAGCCATTGTCCGCTGCTTTCTGCAACCGTGCATTTATTTTTTTTTTGCCGCATGCTTGACGCATTTTTTTTTAACACGAACATCTCCAGTCATGCACGCAATTAATGGAAAGCCAGTACAATGATTGCATATTATGAGTGGGAAAGAAAATGAACATGTGTAATAGGGGGAGCCAGATGCCAATGATCAAAATACAAAAAAAATGCAAGAAACCTTGGCCGCATCACCCAACAGGAAGAGATACAGCAGGCTTGCTTGGCGCGTGGACGCTCCAGCCAATAAGCAGTCGAGAAGGGGACTTCAGAAAAAGTATAAGGGCAGCCGTTTTTTTGTGACACTATTCTGAAGGGCAGTAAAACGCGCACGATGAAATCAGCTCAAAATAGCACCAACTGGCAAGCTCTTCCACCAGTACCGTGAGCCAGAAGTTTGAACAAGTTCGAGCAAGTTTTACCTGCTGCGGGGTCATCTTGGCACTCCCGTGGAAACTTTAAAACCGATTTTAACCCGTTTACTCATAGAGTTCAGTGTTAATAACTTGACATGTGCATATAGGCCTAAAAATGCTAAAAATTAGACTTTCCTAATATCGCCTTTTTAGCCGTTTTTGCCTATTCTAGAAACCGTGTCCCTCCTTAACAGTTACATTTTGCGCAGACCCCCACACAAGCCGAATCGATAGATTTGCATATTACACGGGTATGTGCTCACAAATCTTCGTTCCCCTTTTCTGTTCCCCTGTTGTCGGTTTGTGGTGCCCTCACTTTTTTTCTTGTGTGCACATCCTGTCTGCATAATGGAGTGGAAGCGTCACCTGTGTCGCGTATCGGCAGCAGCCACCAGGAGGTGGAGGACGACAGAGTGCTCGGGGTAGAGTCCCCCATCAGCCAGGAGCTGTACGACGGCCATTTTGCGCTGCTCCAGCTCTTCGGGGCTGCACCCCTGCAGGCAGGAGACAGCAGTCATGCTGAGCCCGGGGGGCGCACTCTTCCCCCCGTCCACCGGGCTGCCATAGGGAAGCAACAGCAAATCCAGCAGTCGGTCGCGCAGCAGGGCCCAGGCCTCGCTCTGTCCTAAGGGAACGGGAAGGGCCGGCCCCTTGCCGCCCACTGCTTGGTGGGCAGCAACCACGTGCGGGATGGCACCCAGGGCCAGATTCAGTATCCTGCGGTGACAGTTCATTTCATCATTTGTGGAGGGGCTCTCTGAACTACTACGTTTCCTTTAATATTTATTTACTACAGGGAACTCTGGTGCCAGAATGAATAGCTCATGGATTTGCCCAATTTTCGTGCTTGCAGCTTCAAATGCACTTGTGGCATTGTTTATTGTTGTGTTTAGGTGTTTGTTTCCAATAAAAGAATAGACCACTGTAAACTTAATGAGCTGCTTTTAATTGTTAAGCCTAAAAATGTTAAAGTAATATAGTAAAATTGCTGAACAATTGCTGAACTTCGTTTGGCAACAAAGCGGTTCAGGCAACACAGAGTCAAATGAAGCCTAAAGAACGAAAGCTTAGACAAGATTGTGTGCCACCCATCGTTCTGACACTGGCTGAAGAGACATATATTGCTGCTCCAATAGACACCAGATTTTTTTTTACTGCAGGGGTCTTCTTTTGAGAAAACAATAGTGGAGACGTTTTTACAACTCACCCATCTAGGGCGGGGCTCCGCTACGCCATGTGTCACGTGCAAGGCGAGTATGGTGACTAGTGTGGGTTGTGCAGGCAAACAGGCACATTGGCCAGCTCTCGCCTCTATATCAGCGTACCCGTGCCAGTATTCAGCTACCAATTCGTACAGTATAAATACAGCAGCAGTGTGAAACATGGCTAAGAAAGAATTAATTAGGCTTGCGGAAATATTCGAACGCTTTGAATATTGGAACAAATAGTAGAGTACAGTAGAATTTCAGTAAATAATTGATTGATTGATTGATTGATTGATATGTGGGGTTTAATGTCTCGAAACCACCATATGATTATGAGAGACGCCGTAGTGGAGGGCTCTGGAAATTTTGACCACATGAGGTTCGTGCACCCAAATCTGAGCACACGGGCCTACAACATCTCCGCCTCCATCGGAAATGCAGCCGCCACAGCCGGAATTTGATCACGCGGATTAGCAGCCGTGGACCTGCGGATTAGCAGCCGAGTACCTTAGCCACTAGAACACCGCGGCGGGGCATTTCAGTAAATGGAAATCTGTTAAACGGAACTATTGCCTCTGCAATGCTACGTTTCGGGTTTGTATTCTGCACCCATGTTCACCTCTCAGTAAACGAAACTCCTGTTAAATGGAACAGAATTTCCCGGTCCCTTTAGGTTCCGTTTACTGAGAGTCTACTGCATTCGAATTCGCTTAGATTCGAATTTAAATTATTGAAAATTTCGGAGTATTCAATGATCGAAAATGCAATGATCGAAAAGGTGTATATTAATCCGCATATAACTGCCTGTAAAGCTGGTTTCAATGCAGTGTAGAATGGCTAAACCGTGAAAGCACCTATCTAAGAGAAACTCGCTCTGTGACGAAGCCCCATTTCAAGTTTTAAAGGGCCCCGCAACACTTATTGAGCATGGTGAGAAAACGCTGCCGATCGGTAGTCAAGGCTACCAAAAACATGCGAACCAGATATTACATTGCAGCATGTGGCCTACAATTCACAACGAATGCTCAAAGTCAGCTAAAAATTTCTCTTCTCTTGGCAGATGACACAGCAAGCTCAAAAATCACATGTCAAAGCCATTTGCTGATTTCAGCACGGCGCACCCGGTCGTTACACTTGGACTTCTGCGGAAGGCCACCGCTTGTCCACACCTACGTGCGTGATATCATTAAAGGGCCACATATTCGAAAGAAAAAAAAAGAGAGAGAGAGAGAAAGTGCTCAAGGTCACGAGGCGCGCGCGACATATTTCCTTTTTCCTGGTGCCATCCCTCCCTGTTTAGCATCTAGCTAATTTGTGGGGACGAAAAAAGAAACTGCAATCGCAGCGTGCGACAAATCTTCGCAACTCCGCTCGTACTGGACGGATTCGAAAAATTTGTGCGGCGGTGAATTCATGAGGCAATACGCTTCTTTAGTGAATCCATTTCATGGCTACTTGAAAGTCAGACAACCTCTTTAAATGAAAATATTACCCTCAAATCAATTAATTTTATTAAGCTTAACATCTTGTTATGACAGCGTATATTCCTCAAGTATAATAAATTTTAAAATGCTATGTTTCGTACAGGTTATCACTTCCATTCTACCGACCCTCAAATCCCGCTTCTACTCACAGTTGGTTCAACTTCTTTGTAACGAAAAAAAAAAAAAGGCATTTGCATAGAAACCTTATTACAATGAAAAAGAAAGAACATTGTACAGGTTAGTTTGGTCATTATAAATATTCCCTTTTTTTATATGTCATACACACCATTTGAATTCGATTAGACCAAGATTACTGTTAGCTTTGAATTAGCTTCGAACATGAAATTCACTATCCGCACAAGCCTAGAATTAATTTACAGTAGACTCACAATAATTTAAACTCTGATAAATCATACTTTTGATTATTTCAAACTATATTCCAATTTTTTTGGTTGTCTCTCTATTGTTTCAATGTATTTAAAAGCCTTTTAATTCAAACTCCCTTATTCAGTTAATTTGTACTTTTTGCAGGTCCATACTGGAAAATATCAGCTGCTTTTTTTAAACATTTGAGTGATTATATATTAATAACAATCTAAAAATGAAAATTAAGCACCCGAGACCTTCAAGGAAAAATGCTTTACAAGTAAACAAATGTTTGAAATGAAACACACGCATGGTAAACCATGATGCTTCTCAACTGGTATAGTAGAGAGCTTTGTGCTGAAGGCACATACCCACAGCTATGAAGCAGTTGGCAATTCACGATTTCTTTAAAAGGTCTGATCAGCAGTAAATGACCAATAAACTTGTGGACATGACACCTCTGCTTTCTGTTCATAGCATGCAGTTATGACTTAAGAGCACTTTACAAAATTTTCAGATGCGATAAAATCAATGCCTCATCATAATGTGTGGTGTTGCTTCACTCATAGTCATCTATATAAGAACTTCTGATAATTCAAACTTCTTGATATTTCAAACAAAGCTCAGAGGTCCCTTCGAGTTTGAATTAACAAGAGCCCACTGTAATTTATCAAGCAGCTCTTCATTCCGGGTCAGACGATGCAACCACATACTACCTGATACTACGTCTCTTTAGGGGTGAAGCTCCTCTTGGTCTAACCTTGTCCTGCATCAGGCTTAACCCGCAGAAGACAAAAAGAAGAAAAAAGGGCAGCATCTCCCAAACAGTATAATAGATGATGCTGTCTCATAAAAGTAAATACAAAATGCACTTGAGTAAGCACACTTTAGATGGCCTGTACCACTACTCTTCGATTGGCTGCTCTGCAGGCTGTGCCTGGGTGCGCGATGAATGCTGTATCGTCTTGTTCAGGAAGCCAAACATGCTGTGCTGGGCACTGGTGGAAAACAGAAAGAGCTTAATTGCATACGTGTACATATATAAGATTTAGAAAGGGCGTGTCTTTAAGCCATTAACAAATAAGCTGTTCGAGTTAAGCGTTAGACAGATACGATACGCTTTCGTAGCACACGTGGAGCGCTCAGCTCCCAAAATGCGATACATTTTCCTCTGTTTGGAAACAAAACAAGGACCGGAAAAAAGAACATAAATGAAAGTTGCCAGGCACACTAGTTCAAGGCATTTGCACGAAGTTCTGGTTGTAGGCCAGACGTGGAGGCGCTCGAAGTTGTCTGAGCGACCTTTTTGGGGCTGTCGAGGACGAGACACTTGTTGGGGCAATGGGCTGTGCGGGCGTAGACGGAGCTGTCCATTCTGCATGTCGATATGTTATCGCGTTGCTTTGCCTAGACTCTACCTCAAAGTCGTCGTCGGCGTCGTACTCCTGGTCGTTGCGTCGAAAAGGCTCCCATGCGAGTAACGGGTGCTGCCGGTTGCACCTGAGCACAGTGCCGTTTTCTGTGACTGTGTACGAGCTGGGGTGACCAGCAGACTTGAGTACTTTAGCTTTCGTCGCCCATGTACCTTTCTTGATCAGGACCTTATCTCACGGGCTCAGGTGCGCCAATGGTTTCTAGAGTGGTCTGTTTGAGGGCGCCAGAGTACCTCTTGCCTGGTGTTGCCTTGAACGTCAGGATCAGGAATAGTTGTGTGAAGCCCTCGTCCCATCAGCAGCTTAGCTATTGATGAGCCGCACTCGAGTGGGGTGGTCCTGAAAGCAAGCAATTCCAACCAGATACCTTGTTTTGCTTAACTTGTTTTTTTTTTTTTTTTTTGAGGATGTCCTTGGTTATCTGAACGCCTTTTTTCGGCAACCCATTAGAGTGTGGGTATCTTGGGCTAGACGTAACGTGCTTGAAATCATACAGTCGTGAGAACAATGCAAATTCACGTCATAAAAATTGAGGGCCATTGTCAGAGCAAACTTCCAAGAGAATGCCGTGCCTAGCAAAAATCGCGCTTGTTACATCAATGATTGTTTTGGCCGCCATTTATTTGAGGGGTTCAACTTCGGGAAAGTTTGTCAGGGCATCGTAAACACACAGGTACGATCTCCTGCGTAGTCAAAAATGTCAATGCCGACGCGGTACTACGGTTGGTCCTGCACGGGGTGCATCAGTAAAGGCTCTAAAGGCTGGGCTATATGCGTACTTTTTTGCAGATAGAACACGCCTGGAAAACGATTCTACGTCAGAGTTCATTCCCGGCCAAAAAACTACTTGTCTTGCCCTGGCCTTGCTTTTGCTGATTCCCAAGTGCCCGGGGTGAATTCTTTCAAGTGTTTTGCCTTTCATGCTAGCCGGAATAACCACTTAGCAGTCTTTGAGCAAGACTCCTTGTACGTTTGATAACTCTCCCTCGAATCGTTTCCCCTGCCCCTCCAAGCATTTTCCAGCCTCTAGATCCCACAGCACGTTCCTTAGCTGTTCGTCTCGCGCCATTTCCGTGGCTAGCCGTCTCCATGTGCCTTCACTAACAAGTGAAGAGACTGTACTCACGACATGTACTTCCACATTGTTGCTGTCGAGGTAGCAGTGACAACATGTTAGCAAGGAGGAGGTGCTTCCCTGGAACAAATTTTGATTAAACGTCATAATGCAG